GAAGTTATTTCAGGGTGACAAGACTGGGCCCTGTTCAAAAATAAAAAAAAAAAAAAAGTGAGCATTTGATGCCCAACCCAAAATGTTTAGAATTACTACACTTGTTTTTTTTTTGTTGTTTTTTTTTTTTAACAACATGCACCTGTATGTTACACACCCTTCCAAAATCACCCTCCAAAAGCTTTTATTTTTTTCTTTTCTCTGATTTTATGGATATTATGCGAACCTGATTTGCTGTTACAGTAATCCCTCGTTTATCGCGGTTAATGGGGACCAAAACCACCCGCGATAAACAAAAATCCCCGAAGTAGCGTCCAATTAACATAAACAGGTAAAAAAAAGATGTATATATTTTTTTAAGTCCGCAAACGGTCTGTGAGAAGCTGCATATATATATATATTTTTTTTTATATGTTTGAAAAAATCCGTGATGCACTGAACCCGCGATAAACGAACCGTGAAGTAGCAAGGGATCACAGTACTGTATTTCAATATTTTAATTATTAGTCTATTTATGTTGGTTGATAAAAGCACATCCATGAATCCATTTTCATTTGAATTCGGAAGCAGCAAAGTTGATTATTATTATTCTTGCCCAGTGTTCACACATGTTGAAAACGATATATTTGAGAATTATTTACCATAGTCTCTTGGATTGAGATTTTGATAGGCTTCAGAAAAGTTTTCAGTTATGACTGGAATATGGGACTCTCTGAGTTTTAGGACTGACGAGGGTAAAACGTAAGAAAGTAGGCTAAAACGCTTCCTTTTTCTAAGTCAAAGCTGATGTCAATGAATGGCTTTTTTTTGTTTGCTTAAAACACAAAGACAATTTATCTGCTTTCATGGATGACTTGAGAAATCAAAAGGTATTCTTATTTGAGAGACAAAAACTTGAAAATGTTGACTTCTGCAAACAATATTTGTTTGTATGTTACAATATTTGTTTGTTTGTGGGGTTTCAAACCTTTTCACTTCATTCCGATTTCGTGTTCAGAAAGCTTCATGGCAAGAATTCTGTTTTACTCAATTTTTGTATTGTTTCCTTTGGACATTTAATGATCTATCTATTAATGCTTTACAATCAGTGTTTTACCTCAACTTGAGTTTGACAGTTTGTTTATTTAGTTTTTTGGGTCACAATCGAGAGGAGCAGTTGAATGTGAGAGGATGATCGTTTGCTCATTAAAGTTGGCTTACTGCTGAACAATACCTCCCCTCTCCCCCACTTCTGAAAGGATGGTGACATCCCTGTATACAGAACACGAACTATTGCTTTATCTCATCATTTTAAAATTGGCAGTAAAAGACACAAAATCGACATGACTACCATTAACCGGATTATGTGATTTGTTGCGAGAAAGCAAAACAGTCAGCTGGATTCCAACCATTCATTCAAATAATGTACATGCATCAGGTACCGTTGTTTGATAATCTCAGTTTCAATTGCCCCATCTCCCAAATTCTTCTTTCTCTTTCCATCCCTGCTAAATCTAGTAAAATAATATTACCGGTAAAATCGACACAAGTCTGTTGGCCATGGCAAAAGATTACAATGAAGCAACAGAGACTGATTGGGGAAAACGAGGTAACCTAACATTAATTTATGTTTTGTATCCTCAAATAATGCTATGCATTCCTTAAAGTCAGTAGAGCATGAACCTGTGATGATAAATCTGCTCTACCAAAGAGCAGCCAGCAGTGGTTTACGTCACTCACATTGTATGGTTTCACAGTCATGTAACATTTTGTTATTGTGGTTGCAGTTTACACTAGTGTCAAACTGTGCTGCATTGTATCGACACTTCTATTTAATATTTCATTTTTCTGTTCGTTACATGAGAGTCAAAATATTGAACATCTATTTATCTGTGAATTTATGGCTATTCATTTGCTGACAAAAGGGACATGTAGAGCATAGCTCATCAATAGTGGGGACGGTCATCAACTAGTTTGTTGTGAAAGTCTCTTGTTTTTCCTTCTTCAAAGGTGAATTCATTGCAAAAAAGAATCATTGCAGCGATATATCCTATGTACCTGAAACTGACGTATAAATGCCCTTGGGCTCTTATTCTGGATTTCACTGCTCACCTCTTTTCTGGGTTTGGTCATGTGACATCAATTTCAGTTGACAGCAGAGCGCGGTACCGAATAAAAAGGCAAAGCCCTGGGACTGATGAAAATGGATGAATGTGCTTAATTTTTATTCCATAAATGCCATATTAATGAGAAAACTGTGTTTGGGCTAGTGTGGGCAGATAAAATAGAATATGTTTTTGCGAAGAAAAGTTTTGTACCCTTTAAGTGAGCATGTGTGATTTTGTTGTAGAGTGCATTCTAAGTGGACTTCACTATGCCGCGCGACAAAAACAGCATCCCTCCATACCAGCCAAGTGGCAGCAAACAGTGAGTGTACTAATATTTTATATATTATGATGTAATTTTGTTTGTCATTGAAGACACATGCCCTGAGTCTGGGGGTGGCAGGTGCAGATGGAATATTTGGCTAGTTGATACACATGCTTCGGGTGTATTGCCTGGCCAAAGATGTTTTGCTGCTCATTGACAATTTTTTGTTCACGGGAGTGGGGGCTTGTGGATACCCAGGACCACCGTCCCTTCGAAACCCCCTGCTGCATGCATGGCAGAGGTCTCAAACTCAGTTTACCTGAGGGCCGCTGGAGCTAGAGTCTGAGTGAGGCTGGGCTGCATCAGGTTTTCCCCCCAAAATATCTGTTTTATTGAAAACAGAAAAAAAAATACCGGCTGCAATGACAGCCACACTGGCGTGTTGTTTCTCTGTTTAAATGTGTATTCAGCAGCACGAAAGAAGCAGCAGCGGCAGATTGTTTACATCTGTGTTTTACACGTGTATTCAAGCTGGTGCGGGGCAGAGTCACGTTGCCGCTATAGTTGGGGTGCTCCGAAGCTGTCGGCCTTCGAATGAAACAGACCTAACTATTTAGCACGGAGGTAGTGCTAACACATACAGTATCCATATCAAACTCGCGCGGGCCCCACTAACATTAAACGTGCATATCAAGGCGGGGGCCTCAAACTATAGCGTCCTGCGGGCTGCATTTGGCCCGCGGGCTGCGAGTTTGAGTCCCCTGCCTTTGGGTGTAACTGCCTATGGGAAATGATCCAATTTCACATACCAGTTGTCTGAAAACTATTACGTACATTCTACAAAAAAATGCACGGTATCTTTAGTTTATGTTTCTATGACAGTGACTTATAGTGACAGTCAGAACAATTACTTTCCATTAAGACAATTTGTGAGTACACTATTTGATGCATTTTCAAAATTTACAAGCAATTAAAAAAACTCGGGAAAGGCATCAATACAAGAACATTGATGAATTTTTCAAGTCAACAGAAAATAGATCGGTTCCAATTTCACATGACTGAGTTATTGCAGGGGAGGCGGGCTGTGTCGAAGCGAAGCAATGAATTCAGTGGGTCTCAGTTCCTTAGACCCCGTCAGACAGGTCCACCAATCAAATATTGTTCCACCAAGAGTGTGCTTCCAAATCCGCACACTTCTGATTGATGAATCGACAGTAGCACTTAGCTTAGCCACATCAAAATTGACATGGAAACAAGCTGGTCACTGTGCTCTTTTGCTGAGTGCCCCAAGTCACGAATAGCTCCACTTTGTAATGCAATCGCTTTGTCCAGTAGTTTCAGAAGAGTCGAACGGGCCTTGTTGACCAACTTGACAATCCATCCATCCATCCATTTTCCGCCACTTATCCGGGGTCGGGTCGTGGGGGCAGCAGCTTTAGTTGGGAAGCCCAGACTTCCCTCTCCCCAGCCACTTCTTCGAGCTCTTCCCGGCGGATCCCAAGGCGTTCCCTGGCCAGCTGGGTGACATAGTCTCTCCAGCGTGTCCTGGGTTGTCCCTGGGGTCTCTTGCCAGTGGGACATGCCCGGAACACCTCACCAGGGAGGCATCCAGGAGGCATCCTAATCAGATGCCCGAGCCACCTCTTCTGGCTCCTCTCGATGTGGAGGAGCAGCGGCTCTACTCTGAGCCCCTCCCGGATGACCGAGCTTCTCACCTCATCTCTAAGGGAGAGCCCGGACACCTTGCGGAGAAAACTCATTTCGGCCGCTTGTATCCGGGATCTCGTTCTTTCGGTCACGACCCATAGCTCGTGACCATAGATGAGTGTTGGGACCAACTTGACAAGTATTATAGATTTGATTTTGATGATAAAATGCATTCGCTACCCGTCCATCATTATTGTGGTGGTGTGTAGCATCTCATCACTGGTCTCCGGTTTCTCTCTTGCTGGTGCGTCCGACTGCGGTCACATTTGGCGATCTCGTCTTTGCCCGGAAGATTCGGCATACTTTGGATTTCAATTCTAATGATGCATAGGTGTCAAACTCAGGTCCTGGAAGGCCGCTGTCCTGCATGTTTTCCTAGTCTCCCTGTTGCAACGCACCTCATTCAAATGAACAGGTTCAATGTCAGGATTCGGCAGAGCTTGCTGATGATCTGATCATTTGAATCAGGTGTGTTGCAACAAGGAGACTTGGAAAACATACAGGACAGCGGCCCTCCAGGACCTGAGTTTGACACCTATGATGTAGAGCAGGGGTAGGGAACTCCGGTTCCTCGAGAGCCGTATCCTGGCTGTTTTAGATCCCTCCCGACTCCAACACACCTGATTCAATTGTTCACGATTGTTTCAGGCCTCGACAGAGCTTGCTGAGGATCTGATCATTTGAATCAGGTGTGTTGGAGTCAGGAGAGATCTAAAGCAGGCAGGATATGGCACTCGAGGAACCAAAGTTCCCTACCCCTGATGTAGAGCATCAAGTCACAGATCAAACATGTAACCATGCCATACTGTGGACAAATTCTGAATAAATAAACATATATCATAACCAGGGGTGCACATAAGCGGTGCACCGGTGTGCAAGGGCACTGCAAATTGAATAATGCTCTCCATTTCAAGTCTGTCACCGTGCTTTTGAGCATGAGAACATTGCAGCTGCATCTTGACTGCGGCCAGGCTCTGTCGCCTTATTGGAAGTTAAGTCAGCCGCCACAAGGATTGCTTCCGAAAGCTTGGTGAGGAATTGCTGTCCATGTACTCATTCTTAATAGGCTTTTATTTTGAATGTAAGTGTCATTAGTATAGTTTAATGGGAAATGAATAATATTTTGTTTCAACTTTAAGGCAAAAAGGATGTTTTGTATTTGTTTTATGTACATTATTTATTCACATTGTGAAATATTTATTTTGTAAAATTAAGTTTCGTTATTTCAATGTTATCGCTATTATCGCGAGACTTGCGCTGTGGTAAGGTGGTTTTTGCCCAGACACGTACAGACAAGACGTACGAAGAGCAACAGCTACAAGGACTGTTTGCTATCCGTTAAAGATATCGAAAGTGTATTTTTGTTGCCCAAGACCTCCGAAGTGGCAGGCGGCAATGAGTTTTCACGGTGTTGGTGTACCAAGACAACCCCAAAGACACTATTAAACACCCGTCATTTGGAAACTGTGCCCTGGTTTTGTTACTTTGGAGCTACATTGAAGTTGACCCTCGTGGTGCGTTGTGAAGCGTTTGAACAACTGTTGTTGTGGCGGCTGGCTTGACTCAACTGGCTTTGGCGATAACAATAACGTTCGTCGTAAAAGACGGCGGCCAAACGCGTCTCATTAACGCCGCCAGGGAGACTGTTATCTCCGTGTCGCCCATACAGTCTGTCAAATTATGTCTTTGCGGTCCGTGGGCAAAAAACATTGGGTATTGGACCAATGCCCAAGAGAAATATGCTATGTTTGGTAGCCGATCACAAAGTCCCAAACTGCCAGTCACAGCTGGGCAATTAATTTTTCGAATGGGACTTGCAACTCAAACGTGTTAAATATGAATTTAGTGTTTATGAACCAGCAAATTATATAGTTTTTATAAGCTGTCATTATTTACCCTCATATGTTGTTGTATTTAAGAAAAAAGTGTAAACTGAAAAAAAAGTGTATTTAATTCTATTAAAATAACATAAGGGGTTGTACGGTGGATGAGTGGTTAGCAGGTCCGCTTGACAGTGCAGAGTTCCACGGTTAGATTCAGGGCTATGGCTTTCTTGTGTGGAGTTTGCATGTTTTCCCCGTAGCTGCGTTTGTCCACCCACATTCCAAAAACATGCATGGTTGGTTATTGGAACGCTCTGTCCCTATGTGTCATTGTGAGCGTGGATGGTTGTTTGTCTATGTGTGCCCTGCGACAGGCTGGCAATCAGTTCAGGGTGTACCTGCCTACTGCCCCAAGTCAGTTGGGATTGGCTCCAGCATGCCCGCGATCCTCGTGAGGATCAAGCGGTTCAGATAATGAATGAATGGATGGATGGATATATAGGTGTCATTCCAGTCCAAATAGATGAACTGCCATCTACTGCTGCACCAACAACCCAGACCCACATATGTTGAGAACAAAGGTTATGGATTCCTTTTACTGTGACACATTCAAAAAAAAAGAAATACTGTGCTATTAATATCACTCACTGTCAGAAACGTGTGTCGGTCGACGTAGGCATTTCACTTTTCTGGTGTGTGTGTGATAAACCCTGAGTTTTTAATGAAACAAAGATCTAAATGAAAATTTCTGTTTTTTTGTTGTTGTTGTTGTTGTTGTTTTTTGCAGTCACAGCAGACACAGGCATAGCGAGCTAATGTCCAATCCAGCATTTTCATACCACCCAGCGGACAAGATGCTTCACTTCTATCGCTGGAGTTCACCACCGGGTGTGATGAAGATCCTATGTATCTTGATCATCATCATGTGTGTGGCTGTGTTTGCCTGTGTGGCCTCCACACTTGCCTGGGACTATGATATCAATGCCATCGGTCTGGGTGGTAGCGCCGGCTTGGTGCCAGGCTATGGCTCCTATAGTGGGTCATATGGTGGCGCATTCGGTGGCGGTTATGGTGGTGCATATGGAGGAGGCATTGGCGGTTCCTATAGTGGCTACAGTGGCTATGGAGGAACAACACAACTGGATCCTCGAGCTGGAAAAGGCTTCATCATTGCCATTGCTGCCATTACCTTCATAGCTGTGCTCATCATTTTTGTGTTGGTTGTGTCAAGACAACGTGCTGCCCGCTCATCAAAGTTCTACTTAGCAACAATCATCATCTGTGCCATCTTGGCATTTTTGATGATCATCGCCACAATTGTGTACCTGGTAGCTGTAAACCCAACCGCCCAGTCCTCAGGGTCCATTTACTACAATCAAGTTCGCCAGCTGTGTGCTCAGTATCAAAACCAGAACCAGGCCCAGGGTATCTTCCTCAACCAATACCTGTACCATTACTGTGTGGTGGAACCCCAAGAGGTGAGATACCAACCTTGGTGGGATTGAGCTTCAGCCTTTGTAAATACCCTCATATTGAATATGTTCGCTTACATTTTTAGAATTTCACACTAGTATTAAAATGATGGAGTGGGACTTTAATGCGTTAATTATGATCAATTAATTACAAAAGAATCAATGATAAAAAAAAAATTAAGGCATTTTAATTGACCCACAGCTTTTGTCAGTGCGTAATTCCCTGATACACCAATGCACACATCAGCGTACAGCTAAACATGCAACCAGCGGCTATTGAAATGCAGGAATCAGATCAAACCGCAGTGGTAGGATTAATGGAAGGCAAATTTAATTTTAACTACCTGATTGAAGCCTTGATAAAAGTGTGGTTTTGTGCAAAAAGGAGTTTGCATTCCACTGGAGTGCTTCAACCCTCTGGTACAATAGACATGAAGAATTATTAAATAAGACATGCCTCCTTGAGCTATGTATGCGAACCTCAGTGGTTGCCCCCACTGAAGAGTATCAGCACATTTCACCATTTGTGGACTTCACAAATACTAAAATGACGCTTGGATGCTTGGACATTGATGCACACAATGCTGTACAATCACAATAAGGAAACTAGAAATAGATTTTTTTAATATATGAGTATTATTTTCTACTGTCTATCAGTGAAGTGCATTTTTTCATCGTTAAAAATAGTCTTTGTTTCAATCGTCCACTAAAATACATTTACATAATTTAAAAATGTTTTTGATTAAAATGTGATTACTCAAGATCAATTAATTACAAAGCCTCTAATTGATTAAATGATTTTTTAATATTCAAGTCCCGCCCCATTTATTCGTTTAAAGTTTGTGCTTTTTGGCATTTGTGTGGCTCTGCCTTTTCTCAATCAGTGGCCTCCCTTGAATACTCTACCTGTCTGGTAGTTGAGTATATCGACCCCTCTGGTCACTAGAAAACAAAAAAATAAATAAATAAAATACAAATACTGGATTGAGAGAGCATCCTATGAAAGTGAACAGAAAAGTTATTAACTGATACTGATGAATACAAATATTTAATGTTGTGCAAGATCTTAAGAATTTCTGGTTTGTGGGCAAAAATTGGCACAACACTGACAATTGGTCTTCCGTTCTTTGCAGGCCATAGCAATCGTCTTGGGCTTCCTGGTGTTTATAGCCCTCATCATTCTTCTGGTGTTTGCTGTTAAGACACGCTCCAGCATCAGGCGCTGGGGCAGAGACCGTATTCTGTGGGAGGAGGTTAAGGTTATCAACGATAGTCACAGCATTGGAGAGTGGGTGAGTGCATATTTTCATATGGTAGATTCTGACTGACATATAGTGTGGCAAGATAACATTCATAGTAGGTTAAAAAAAAAGCATACACCCCTTTTTAAAATATAAATAACAAAAGTTTGATGGGTATTAATCAAAAAACATTCCTTAAATCAGAGATTAAAGTCCTCCGGATTTTCCCGGAATTCCGGGTTTTTCAAATTTTTATGAAAATTTCTCCGGAGAATTGAGGAAAATTTGCATAATCCGGATATTAGTTGACAACATTGAACGACGAAGGCGCGGAGTTCGTTGTATTGCTTTCACGAGCTTAGCCATATTGAGGCACTAACACTAGTAACAGTAAAGAGATTTTTGTTTGTGTAATAACGACAGAAGGCATGATGGCGTTTGACTAATGGTTTAGTAGAACGAATGGCAACTCGCAACAACAGTAGCAAGCGTCATTTTGCCTCTTGGGTTATACCATCTCAACTAGAACGTGGGGGATAGTCCCCAAACAATTTTCGTCTCTTTATAAACACACCCGCTAAACCCCAGTGGAACGAATAAAAGACGCCGTCAACAAGACCAGAGAGCCCCGGACTATCTACTGCTGAGGCTCGCTTAGCTTGAGTGGACTCGCCACAACAGTAATACCCTCGCCTCGCATTCTCATGGCCTCGCCATATCTTGGAGATTTCGAAATTTCGGCCCGAACGGAAGCCACAAAGGGTACACGTGTGCACACAAAAGGAAGATTAATCATTGAATGTCGAGTATTTGAATAGCGTTTTGTGTAAACTAATTCATGCTTGATCGGCCAAGTGCGTGCGCGTGTGCGTGTGCGCGCCCACACACACACACACACACACACACATTTATTTATTTATATATTTTTTCCGGAATTTTCAGAAAAGTCCCCTTTCATCTCTGCTTAATGTAAGGAAGTGTATTTTCACAACAAATAAATGCCTGTATTACTGTTATGTGTCAGGAGCGGAGTACTTTTATTTTGAACTTTATAGTTTGAGATGGGTAATGATATTATGTAGAATGCCAATATAAAGTCAAACAAAGGAATGAATGAAGGTAAACAATGTGTGATTATTGTAGGCAAACAACCAAACAGGAGACACAACCTTTTTTTGTTGGTGAAGGTTAAAATAAACGTGTACACCAATTGAGAAAAAATGTCGATGTGGTTTATCTTATTTTCTGTTCTGCATTGAAGGCCAATGTATCTGTGTCTTATCTTAAACCATTCGTATTTGTTTCCTAAATTCAAAGCATTTCTTAGTGAGAATTTATGTTATGACATTGTTTTTTTTTTTTTTTTTTTTTTAAACCTATTTCTTATGCCTTAAATGTTTCTTGATTCAGTCAGGTATCTTCACATATCATGTCATCAAATTTTCAGACTGCTTTTATATTTCTGTGATACTTTTCGGTCCAGACAATATGCTTTGTTTTGTGAAACGCAATTGTTTTTCACACAGTGACGTAAAAGTTGAGTTTCAGGAGTAGTTTCTGGGTGTGGTCAGTTGAGAATTGTTTTTGTTAAGTGCTTGGGCATGTAAATAAATCCAAGTGTCTCGTAACTGTGTAAAACATATTGCTCCAAGCAAGTATAAACCTTCCATTAATGTAATCGTTCTTACTGAATTGATTTGTCATCCCCAAGCAAAGACTTAAAAGTTGACATTCGCATTTCTGTAACGTCTGTCTTTGGTTACCTGTTTGTGAGGCATGCAGGGAGCAGTGGAACAAGTTTGACTTGCCGAACAACCTTTCTAACATCTTCGGAGAAAAAAATGCTGGAGTATCAACAAGTGTGTGACACTGTCTTCTTCAACAGGTAAAAAATGTGTCTGGTGAGCCAGAAACACTGGTGAATGATTATAACGATCAAGTTGGAGCACCTCAGGGCTACAGGGACCAAATGGACCAAAAGAAGCCAATTTACATACCGGGGTAAGCCATGCATCATCATGAACAAAGTGAAAAGGCAAACAATATTTTCCACATCCGAATGGGATCAGTGTTTCATATTAAATCTGTTGGTGCACTGAAGAACTAGAGTGGTGAGTAAGAATCATGCCTCCAGCCTAACATGCAAGTACACGTTAATGTAAACTTGAAGCACCCCATAATTATTTCATATCTGGTGTTTAACTGAAAAAAACAACATTGTAGCAACAAAAATAATACATATGTTACAGGTCACGATGAACTTTACTTGCTTATCTTCCCACTTATAATTATTATTTTTTTATTTTCAGCCAGCAAAATGTATCCTCAGATGTAAATATTTAAGTCATTCTAATTCATATTCATCAACCATGTACATATCCTCCTGACTACCAGTAGTTCAAATTTGTCCTCTGTAGAGGACATTTGTGAACCTAAATATCTCCCACCCAGTGCCTCCAATCGCATTAACTCCTTTTGTTACTCTAAAGAGGACATTCAGTGCTTTCCAATGATACCAAATTTGTCGGGGTTAGAAAAAGTAAGAAAATGGCTTCCTTCAGTGCAAGCACTTTTTATGGGAAGAGGAAAAGTAATACTTTTTATCGACCACATTTTGTCTTGAAATGCTGTTGGCATTTTAATTATAAGACTCTTATGAACACGTTAAAGTGTTGTTTGAGTTGTTTTAAGTGTATTTGAGCCTGTTTAAAAAATGTAGTGGGATTTCAAAAATTTCTTTTGGAGGAGTCCAATTACTTCACATAGATTGGGGAATGTCAAAATAAATGTGATTGGACAACATTTTTTTCCTGGTAGTCAGGAGGATATGAAAATAAATTTTCAAAATCAAGCCTCATCGTCAGTTAACTCGTAATGCAAATTTTACCGTTTGGAATTTTGGCCAAAAAGTTGCACTTGGGTTTCATTGAACCTTAATTCATTTTTTCATGTTTGAAAGGTTTTGTTACAACGCAGACATGTATTTTCTGCAGTTGTTTAAATAACCACTCCAAATTAGGCCCCTTCTAAATTCCTTAACTCTGTTTACGACTGGTAATCTGATAGTGCTCTCGCTAGCTAGGAGGCTCACAAGGATAACAAGCTAACAAAGTTGTTCTTTAAAATCAGTGGACAACGACTGAGAGTGGATGATGACTCTAAGAAGACGTTCAACTGTGCAATCAGAGAGTTCCGTGGCGAGTTCTTTGGAAGTATCGGGTACTGAACTCCTGAGTACAGGCTGTTTTGGTCCCGGTATGACTGGTCTCAGAGTTTGGTCCCTACTGTTGGCAGCAAATTGGATGTGTTTCCAGTGGGCTATGCCTAGGCTGTTCTTTGGCACAAATTCTGTTAATAACCTTTATGGACAGAATTTCTAGGCACAGCCGAGGTGTTGAGGGGTTCATTTCTGTTTTTCGGAGATGGCTCTGTCAGCTTCATCAACCCATGATCTCCAACTCTCACTTGAGTGTTTAGCAGCTGAGTGTGAAGTGGGTTAGGATGGGAGTTGGCACCTTCAAATCTGAGACTGTGTCAATCAGTTGAAAAAGAGCGCTATGCCTTTTCCAGATCGTGAAGGAGATCCTGCCCCAACTGGAGGAGTATAGGTATTTTACGGTCGAGTTCACAAGTGACTGAAGAATGGAGCAGGAGATTGACAGGCAGATCAGTGCAGCGTCTGCAGTCATGCGGACTCTGTATCAGTCTGTGATGAATAAGGAGCTGAGACGAAACGTGAAGCTCTCAATTTACCGGTCGATCTACGTTCCTACCCTCAACTATGGTCACAAACTGTGAGTTGTGACTCGAAAGAGCAAGATCCCGGATACAAGTGGCCAAAATGAGTTTCCTCTGCAGGGTATCCAGACTTTCCCTTAGAAAAGTTCGGTCATCGGAGTGGGGCTAAGAGTAGAGTTGCTGCTCCACTGCAGTGAGAGGAGCCAGATGAGGTGGCTCGGGCATTTGAATAAGAAGCCTCCTGGACACCTCTGGTGAGGTGTTCCAACCATGCTGTAGGATGCAATGAGGAAGACCCAGGACAAGCTGGAGAGACTGTCTCCCGGTCGGCATGTAAAAACCTCAGGTGCCCCTGCTGGACAAAGTGGTTGGGAAGAGTCTGCCAAAGCTGCTGCCCCCACGACCTGACTTCTGATGAGTGGAAGAAAATGGCTGGATGAAAATAAAAAGTAATTCTGTTGTTTCTTTTTTATCTCCCCTTTCAGAAATATATTTTTAATTGAGTTGTACAGGTGAGGGATCACACCCCTCAGCCTAACTGGTTAGGTCTATTCAGGGTGCTATATAGGAGGATCCATTGGGTGCTTGAATCTCAGATTGAAGAGGAGCACTGTAGTTTTCGTCAAGGCCATGGAACAGTGGGCCAACTCTTCACACTTGGCAGGATTCTCGAGGGTGCATGGGAGTTTGCCCAACCAGTCTACATGTGTTTTGTGGACTGGAAGAAGGCCTTTATTGGATGCAATAGTACGGGTTGTTCAATTCCTGTATGACCAATGTCAGAGTTTGGTCCATGTTACTAGTAGTAAGTCGGATTTGTTTACAGTGGGCGTTGGACTCCACCAAGGCTGCCCTTTTGAGCCAAATCTGTTCATAGCCTTTTTTGGACAAAATTTCTTGGCGTATCCTAGTCATTCAGGGTGTCCTGTTTGGTGCGCTTTCTACTCTACATCTCTGATTTCTGCAGACGATGTAGTACTGTTGGCTTCTTCAAGCTGTGATCTTCAACTCTCACTGAAATGATTCACAGCCTGAAAAGGGTGGAGTGCCCTCTCTGGGTTGGGGATTGTGCTTGCAAACACTTAGTTTTTCTTCTTTCTATCCCCCAAATTTGCTGCTGTAGACTGTAAATTTCCCCAGTGTGGGACAAATAAAGGATATCTTATAAGATGCTGTTCCAAGTGGAGCAGTTCAAACACGTTTGGGTCTTGTTTACAACTGAGGGTGGGGTGGAGCGGGAGATCGACTGGTAGATCAATGCAGCGTCTGCACTAATCTTCAGTGTTGTTTTTGGTAACCATTTTTGAATTAGTCTTCGTCTTTTGGGCAAAAATGTTTATTAGTTTTAGTCACATTTTAGTCATTCCTCTTCATGTTAGTTTTAGCCAACAAACTCTCAAGGTTTTAGTCTAGTGTCAGGCAACAAAAACTCCAAAAGAGTTTTGTCTAGTTTTAGTTCAAAATAGACATAAAATGTTTCCAACAAATAGCAAAGACTTTCTTGTCTACTAAGGATTATGCATTACACACAGATGAAGTGGTAACAGTGCAATCATTGTTCATTACTCCAAAATAAGCCAAGAACCAAAACATTTTTTTCTTGCAATTGTTGTGGCTGTATTTCTTTGAAACAACCTGCTCAAGTGCAGTGAGCATACACATGGCCAAAATATGAGCAATGGATGAGGAACACTTAAAAGTATAAAATAAACATGGCACTTTAAGCAAAATAAATCAAATAAAAGCAGCAATCTTTTTACAACATAGACTAGAGGGGACTCGTATCCCTAGTGCAGTTATGGTGTAAAGTTTATTTCATCCGCAGAGCTGACATAGTAGTTAATGTTACTGCAGCTCAGAATAACACAATGTTCCTCAATCTGGGTTCGATCAAAGCCCAGGGGTTGCGTGAATCATCTCAGGGGTTCGACGGACCCTCTGCCATGGAGGTGAACACACACCCGACTCAAGATGTCAATTAGTTATGACAGAGGTCCCCAACCACCGGTCCGCGGACCGGTACCGGTCCGCAGGGCATTTGTTACCGGGCCGCACAGAAAGAACTTGCCTTAATTCCGTTTTATTTATTTCGGAATACAAAAGATGTTTTATTTTGAAAAATTACTGGATTCTCCGTTACATCCGTCTGTGTCACACTTCTCCGTCACATGACTGATTACGCTAAAAACAAAATGCTGGAGCTCGCAAAATGAGGAAAAAACTGCTGGAGATCGCAAATGATGGCGGCCTTAAAAGTACGTTCAAGACAACTGGATTAAAGTTAAAGTTATGGCTGAATACTCTGAGATCGCCACAATAGCACTGTTGCTATTTCCGACATTCTACCTGTGTGAGGTGGGGGGTTTTTGCAGCAACGGCTACTAAAACAAAATTACGAAGTAGACTGGACATAAACCACACACTTGAGGTGTCATTGTCTCCTATTACCCCGAGATGGGACCATCTGGTTGCAGAAAATCAAGCTCCGGACTGTGGTGAGTTGTCATTTTCATGCACTTTGAATTTGTGTTGTATCGTATTTTGAAGGCATTAAACATTACCATAGTGATCAGAGTGTTGCGGCCACATTAGGCGCTCCTTGTGTTTATTATTATATTTTGAAAACACCACAGTTTTCATGCAGCTCATACCATATTATTTTGTTGTATTAATCCGCCACACCTTAAATGCCTGAAAATATTGTTTGACATAAACCAGTCCGTGGGATAAAAAAGGTTGGGGACCCCTGAGTTATGACACACTCGCTTGGCCACCACTGGCTGCAGATGATCACATTACATTGCTTGTCCAATCAGTGCTGCGGGAAATTTAGTTTGCTCAGTCGTCAATGTGTGACTGTTGTGATAGTATGTTGTGTGATTTTTTTATTTTATTTTTTTTTAGACTTTTTTTAAAAAATGCTAACTATGTCGAGCAAAAAAAAGAAAGTGGTTGGATGAATATGTACAGCATAGATTCACATGCATCGCGGAAAGTGATGGGACTCAGCATCCGAGCTGCATGATTTGTCATGCCAAGTTGAGCAACTCAAAACTGAAGGAACACTTCTTGAATGATATTTTTATTTTTCCATAAGGAAAGGTTTCGGTGAATGTGGATATGAACTGGTTGGGTTCAGTACCTCCAACAAGGTTAAGAACCACTGGAATAACATGAGACACCTGTGTGATATAAGACAACTATGTCACACATTCAAGCCCATCATCCAGCTAAATAGCAGAAAATACTCCATAGCCTACATG